GGTACCGCGTGTGTGCGACCGTTGATGAGCTTGACGAGGTAGCGCGACTAGACATGGGCATGCAGTGGTGTACTTCACGGTGCATCACAATCAATGTGGTACATGTGCGGTATATTGAGGTCGGTATATCGGAACATGCGTGCAATTTGGAGAGAAGAAAGGGGGGCAGGCATGACTTTGAGAGTATGCCTGATGGTGCGGTGACTGGTTTATACTGATGGTGTTGTGGACGGGGATAGGTTGAGATCCCCGAGTTCCGCTCTTCTCTCCCCCCCCTGTTCAAGCGTGGGGGGGTACGACCAATTAATGCAATTTCGAAAGCAACGAACAAATCGATGGTTTGTCAGAAGCGCCCAAAACTACCACCGGGGTGTCGTATTCTGTGGGGGGTGTGCATTCTTTTGTAGGTGTGTTATCTTGTGTCATATACGGTAGTCTAGTGCCAATTTTCCGGGCATATCTAGATTATGCCGGGGCACCAACAAGGACCTCATACAGTCGACCCCGCTTTTTGGACGCTCGCGTTAAGGCAACTCCCCACTTTAAGGAAACACTTTTCTGACCACCAGGGGTCCCGGCGGAATGTACTACCATGGGGTACCACTCTTTTCTCTGCCGCGCACCCCCTTTTTGTGTCCTGCGGGCCGCGCTTTGCACGCACCACGCACCACAGTGAGTGCAGAAGTATCGACGCACAGACAGCAGAAGTAGCGAGCGGCCTGCTGCTGCAGCTGTAACTGGGTGTTGGTATGGATAGATTCCTCCCATCTACCGGCGGTCCATCTAATGCCGCCAAAAAAACATGTGGAGAACCAACGTGTGCGATGAGATCTCTACTGATCACCGGAGTCCACCAGTTCCCATGCGGGCGGCCGATGCATGGCTTCCGTGGCCGAGGAATCGGTGAGGAAGGCTTCGGGCAGCAGAGAGAGTGCACAGATTGTCAGAGGAGAACGACTACAGGCAAGAACGGCACCGGCACAAGTCCCATGAAGGTCGAAAGCAGTAGCGACAACGAGGACAACAGCAACAGGTGATGATTGTGATTTACAGCAGTCAGCAGCAGCAGCAGCAGCCATCGGCCGAACGCGTGCTGTTGAGCAGTTGAGCAGGAAAGCGTGCACCACGATGTTACATGTACGTTGCATGTCCTTGCCTTCGTCTTATAGACGCAGTCGTGATATTCTTTTGTCTTATTTTCATTCAGCGTAAATTGTAGCTGCTGGCCTGCGTGCAGTCTCTCGGCGCTAGGTGCGAGCACTCTCGTTCTCCGGAAAATAAGCGCATGTTGTGTTCGGCACAACGGCATTTTTTCTCACGTGGGTGTATTTGCCAACAACCTGCCCTGACATGTCACAATTCCTT